GGGAGGGGGAGGGAGAGGGGGAGGGAGAGGGGGAGGGGGGGGGAGGTGTGCCACACTAATATAGGATGTTAACCGTAAGAGAAATTAGGTGCAGGAATACATCAGAACTCTTAGTACTACTTTTGTTTTGTTTTGGTACCGGGGATTGAACTCAGGACCTTGCGCTTGCGCTGCAAGCGCCGGAACCACTGAGCTAAATCCCCACCCTCTCAGTACTACTTTTGTAATTTTTCTGTAAATCTAAAACTATCCTAAAAAAATAAAGTTCAGTAAATACAGATTAGAAAGAACTAAATTCTGCATGAAAACACATTTTAATCATATACAGTCAAAATTATCTACTACTAATTTAATTGAAAGACGATGAACCAATATTCTTTCCCATGTTGGAAAACTAATAGCCACATTCACAATCCTTAATTTCAGAATTTTGGTTTTAATCTTTGATACAGTAAAAAGATCATTAAAAAAGACATACTCTATAGTAAAGGTGGGTTATCAATTAGAAAGTTAAAGGTTACTTTTACCAAACCCTAACTTTTTAAACTAGAGAGCTATTTAATAGGCAGATCCTAGAAAAATATGTTGCTCCTTAGTCTTAATTTTTAAAAAGTTGTGCCATGGTGGACAAATCCCCAGTATATGAAAGTATCTACAAGAATGCAAGTAAGAAAATGTTTTACCAAAATAATTACAAGTTTTCAAAATATGACACCTCCTGGTCCTTTTAATATAAAATAACTTTCCATCACGTTTTTAGGAACTCATAGGCAAGGTATTACTGTAGGTCCAATTAATTTTCTTCATAAGGGAGGACTGGGAAATAAAATCTGGACATCTATGGGGTAGATTATTCTAACTTGAAACCCCATCTCTTTTAATTTCTTTTACATTTTACGAACACTTACCCTGCTTAAGCCCCAAGTGAGGCAAAACCAAAAAACAAGCCCAAAAATGTGACAAAAAAAGAGATGACTGTACAAAACATAATTTGTCAATTACTGTAAAACAAATTGTTCCTATTCAAGTTTATCACAATTTCCCTTTATCTCTGATCATTAAGACTGATATGAATCAAAATATTTCAAAACAAAAAGCATTAAAGCCAGGCCTGGTGGCACATGCTTGTGGAGGCTGAGGCAGGAGGATCACTAGGAGTTAAAAGAAGCCAGTCTTGGCTAGTGAAGTCAAGGACAGCCTAAACTACATAGTGAGACCATATCTCAAAAACAGTAACAACAAGGGCTGTGCCTGCCAGGCAAGCTCAAGATCTTGAATCCATCCCTGGTACCAGGGAAAAAACAACAGAAGAAACAGTAACAATCCAACCAAACAACAAAAAAAACCCCCATCAACATATATGTGTAAGGGAAACGACTCCTGTGGTAGCCATACTACACTGTTTTGGGAAGTTTACTCCGAAAATTAGACATATAAAATTATTATTGGAGAGATGGGGATTTAGCTCAGTGGCATAGTGCCTGCCTCGCAAGCACAGGTCCTGAGTTCAATCCCTGGTACTAAAAAAAAAAAAAAGAAAAGAAAAAGATTATTGGAATTAATAGTATTGAAAAACAACAAACACATGAACATGATGATGTAAGATACTGAAAGTAGTTAATAGTATTACCAAATATCCACTCACCCCTAAGAAAACTAATACATCTCATAAATATTTGGCTGAAATTATTCTCTGCTTAAATTATAGCTGAAATGGGCCGGGGATTTAGCTCAGTGGTTTTGCTGCCTGCTGCGCAAGTGCAAGGACCCGAGTTCGATCCCTGACACCAAAAAACAAAAAAACAAATAAATTATAGCTGAAATGAAACATCTCTATCCCAGAGTAAATGCCTAAAATCCTAAACGCTAAGTAATGCTAGCCTACCATGCACTACCAAGTATTGCTTCGTCTTTCAGCATGACCCAATCTTCCAAAGGAACTCTGCTACAAACCCTTCAAGTTTAAACAGAAGCTTGTTGTAAATAGGATATTTGGGTGGTCATCTACTTGTGGTATTTCTAATGATATAAAAAAGGCGGAGAGGAGATAAGAAATATGTAAATACAGGCAGCAATAAGTAATTTGTCTACTAAAACACATGCACTTTTCCCCCTGAACTGTAAGGTATCACACAGTTGGAATGAAACTGTTACCATTAATCATTGCTAATTTGGTATATGTAGACACTGCATTTGTGCCAAAGCATTTTCAGTCTTTTATTTTTATTTATATTTATTTATTTATTTAAGTTTTTTGAGACAGGGTCTTGCTATGTAGTTCAGACTGGCGTTGAACTATGTAGTCAGGCTGGCCTCAAACTTGTGGTGAGCCTCCTGGCTCAGCCTGCTGAATGTTGGGATTACAGCGGTGCACCACTGCACCCAGCTCCAGTCTTTAAAAATGATAGTGTTTCAATGTCCTCTAAGGAAAAAAAAAAAAGAATACTATAGATGGGATCTTTACGTTCCTCTCACTACAAAATGCTTGTACTTACTGTCAAGAATTCCAACAAATGAGGAAAGATATGCAATGTACACATATAATCATATAGTGCTCTATATAAGCAAATAAAAATGTCCACATATCTCTGGGAATTTATGTACCATTCATATTTGCATCTTCAACCACCACATTGTGTCTCCAATTTCTTCTATATTTATTTTTGCTACTGTTGCACTGGTTTCAATTAGAGAGTAGTGGTTCCTAAACACACATAAGAGAACTTCAGGTATGCTATTTTCTCTAAGAATTCAAAAGGAATTACTGCCAAAAACCAGTCCTTAACTGATATTTGCTTTAGTGGTTTAGCCTTCTCTATTCCTACACCCTCGGACAATAAAAAGTCTTCGAAATGCCTTAATGGAAATACTCTCTCAAAAATATTCTGAGAATACTTCTTAGACTTCCTTTAAAAACTATGCAATTTTGCTGGGCATGGTAACACAAGCCTGTAATCCCAGCACTCAGAGGCGGTGGCATGAGGATCACCTGGTGTTCAAGGCCAGCCTGGGCTACATACTGAGTTCAAAGCCAGCCCGAATTACCTTGTCTCAAAAAAAAAAGATAAAAATTACTATGCTGGCCCAGGGATTTAGCTCAGTGGTTCTGCTGCCTCCCTTGCAAGCGCAAGGTCCGGAGTTCAATCCCCAGTACCAAAAAAACAACAAAAGAACTACCATGCAATTTTACAAAAGGTACACTTAAGGCTTATGCATTTCACTGTATATAATTTTACCCTTCAGCCCTCCAAAAAAATTGGACACTAGAAAATAGGATACATGCTAAAATATTTAAAATATACTGACTGGAACTTAATTTGAGACAAATCGAGATGAACTGATGGAGAGAGCAATAGATGTGTGATAAAATACACGGCAAATATTAATTGTAGAATCTAGGTGTAAGATACATAGCTGTTGACTTAATTCTTTCAACCTGTGTTTGAAAAATTTTTATGGTAAAATGGGGAGAAAATATAAAGGAACCTCAGCCCTCGACAGATAGGAGCTTTGCAGTTCAACAAATTCATGCTAGTTTTTGAAGAATTATAATTTTGTCAACAAAAAGTATACTGACATTAAACACATGGATGGGTTTCTTCATATTAACATCATTTCATTTTTTGAAAGTTTCAAAAAGTGTTCAACATTATCCTCACAGAATTTACTGAGCAGTACTATATACAAAATACTATGCTATGCATTTCATATTTACTAATTTAATCCTCCCAAGAATCCTAGAAGTAGGTAGTTATTCCCGTTTTACACATGAAAAAACTTAGGCATGAAGAAATTAAATCATTTGCCAAAATCACAAAATAACACTAGAATTCCACTCATGTTTAACTAAAGCTCATGTTCTGCTTTTGTGAACAGAAGTGAGTCTACAAAGAAGGTGCAGTTCTTCATTTCCTAGGAATGAGAACGCAGTTTTCCACAGGTAATTCACTGTAATGCTGAAATTTCAAACTGATACGACTTTCTCAAAAAAATTTCACAGTGAAGGCATTACCGTATTTTTAGAGAAAAATTCTGAAACTTGCCAGTGCTCACAAGGTAAGTCAATAGAGATGCTGTACAGAAAACCAAACTGTCCTTGGAACCCGTTTCTTCTAGACTATATTGTCAAAAATAAGACTGCAAGGACCGGGGATTTAGCTCAATAGCACAGCGACTGCCTCACAAGTGCAAGGTCCTGCGTTCAATCCCCAGTACGGGAGGAGGTGGGGAGGACTGCCTGATCAGCTGAGTTTCCACTAAAATGTGTTAGAAGATAGGGGGCCCTTTAAGTTTTAAGAGTGTCAATTAGACAATGAATAAACTTACAGCTTTGGGCACTCAGCAGACAGCACAAATGGTAGGATGACCTGGCAAAGGGTACCAAGATAATACTACAAATGAAAATTAGGAATTTCTCAAGTCTCCAATCAGGTCCAGTAAAGTTAAGTACTAATATCAAGGTGATTTGTAAAAATTTAAGCTAAAGCAACAGAAATTGCTAGACGAACTGTGGGAACTAGAGCAACACCATGCACTAATTAGACAGAAGCATGTTTTTTCTCACACAGAAGCTTACAACTGAAGCTCCCATTTCTGACAATGGGAGTACCTACCTTTAGCTGGTGGAGCCAAGTGAAATCTTTACTTCTAAAATTCTGGGTTAAGACCAGATTCACCTACTTGAATACTAGGCAGCAGCGAAGTGTCCTACACAATGATCAACACTGGTGACTTAAAATGTTATCATAACTACCAGTCCCCCACAACCCACCCTACGAGACAGACAGCTTACCTGGGGAGTGGACTCCGACTCAGAGACCGCTTGCTCAGGAATGGACTGCTGGATCGCCTTCGACCGTAAGGACTGGGTGATCTCCCGCTGTAAGAGCCGCTCCTTTCATAGCTCGAGGACCGTCTCCGACTATAGGGACTCACAGACCTCTGTCGTCTACTGTAGGGGCTGGGCGACCGGGTGCTGGACTGGTAGGCAGAAGGCTCCTTGTAAAGTGGGCTGATCGACTGCCTTCTTGAGGTACTTCCAGGACTCTTCTTGTAGGAGTCGTAATTGCTAGAGGTGTGAGACCTTGGGGGACTAAGGTCATAATCTTGGCCATAAGAAGCGCCTGAGGGGCTGTCATCTTGTTTGGAGCTGTCTGACCATTTCCTGTGGGGACTTCTGGATCTCCGTTTTGGGCTGTCCATGGTTTTGTAACTTTTGGGTGTTTCCTTTTTCCGATGACTTTTACTCCGGTCCTTGTGTCCAGACTTCAGCTCCCGTTCCTTCCGAGCCTTCTCCTTATGGAGTTTGGATGACCTCGACTCCCTGCTGCTGCTTTTAGACAGCTGCGCCTTCCCATAGTCATCATTCTCCTCATTTGAACGCTTGGAACTTCCCGATGTCCGGTCTTTCATCGTTGCCGACTTGCTGGGGACTTCTTGGTTCTTTTCTTTTTCGGTCGGTTTAGTTTTTAGCAAGTCCCGGGAACGTCTGTGCTGGTGGTGACGATGTTTGTGCAGGCGGTCACTTCGATCAGTTCCACGACGTTCATCGTTCTCCCTCCTGTCTAATTTGAAGGCCATGTCGTCAGAGAAGGTGTCTGAATCAGAGCTGATGTCATCGTACTCCACCAAAGGTTTGATAACTGTGCCCAACGATGGTGCTTCTGGGGTCACCAAGCCTATGTCTTTGGAGTGCTTGGACTTGTGCCGCTTGTGCTTCGACACCAAGCGGTGACGCTCTCTGCTGTTGGAGCTGCCACCTCCCGAGGACGGCTGCGAAGTTCCAGAAGCTCCTCCACTCGCGTCCTTCTTGCTCCCATGTCTCTCGGAATTGGGCATTACCTTCGCCCCGGCCCCGAAGACGGGGAAAAGTTCCCCGGCGCCGCAGGAAGCCGCCCTTCCCACCCCCGGCCCAACTCCACGCCCCCCGAGCGCCCCTCTTAGGGGCTGGGAGGGAAGGGACTCGCGGCCGGGCTCCTCCCCCTCCCGCCGCCTCGGCGCCCTCCTACATGAGGTGGGGGGAGATGGGGCGAGGTAGACCAGAGTTCCTCACGGCGGAGTTGCGAGACCACGTCCTTCCCCACGCCCCGCCGAGCCACTCCTCAGGCCCGGCTGCCTGGAACTCGAAGTAGAAAGCCAGCGGCCCTGGGCTGCGGGGCAGACTCCGGCTCTGGGGCCCTGTGAGGGCTGCGAGGGCCCTTCTCCTTCCCGGTGGCCCGGTTCAGGGCAGCTTCCTGTCGTCGGGGTCCTGCGGCCTAGGTGACTCACGCCCCCTTTGTCCTTCGCTCCTGAGGGAGCCCCCTTTTCTAGCCTCGGCCTCACCTCAATACCTCACACACACATTCGCTCCCTCACACACTCAGTCACACACTAGATTAAACCGAAACGGCACTTGGAGGGGGGAGGGGCAAGCGCAGAAAACATCGCGAGAGTCCCCTAGACTCTCGCGATATTTTGAGCTCCCCTTTCACCTTTCCCTACTATTGGATCAAACAACGCGAGAACAGGGCAGGCACAAGAAACGCGCTCCGCCAAAATCTCGCGATAAGATTCCTGCTTCCCTAGTTGAGGAAAGCTTTATTGAAAAGAAGCTAGCCAAAATTTAAACAAACAAAAACCCTCTTAAACCTAAACCTTACTGAACTAATTGAACAAATATTCCTACCTGCCAAGTTCCAGTGCAAACGCATTTTAGCATAGTTCATATAAGAAAGCTTTTAACTAGTAGGATAAGGATTTTTTAACAGGGCAAAGGGTGAATTCAATGTAGAGACGTTACAACCTAAGGTCCTTTAATATCTAAACAATACTCCCCATTTTTAGGGTGTAGACTGTGCCAGGCATATTGGATCCGTTATGCCTAATCATAGCTACCCGACAGGACACTACAGCCTCATGCCAGTTTTACAGATAAGGAACCCCAGACGCAGAGATGAACAATTTCGGTAGGGTAACACAGTTATAGTCCTGCTAGTAGGTCAGCTGAGATTTAAACTCAAGTGTGATACTACAGCATGAGCTTTTCCATTGTGAGTCCCTACCTCTCTTCACTCTTCAGATCTAAGAACCTGAGAGCGCCTTTCCCTTTGAAATGGTCCCATGGCTTTTAACGGGTAATTTAGCCTTTTATCGTCACGTAAAAGATTGTAATTATGAACAAGAAAAAAATACTATCTTACATTTAGCCTCTCATTCTTTACTTTTCAAAACTCTTTCATGCAAGTAAAACCATTCCACCCCTGCGGATGCCTGCAATCCCAACACTTCCGGGGACGTGAGGCAAGAGGATCACAGGATCTACAACAGCCTGGGCTCCAGAGTGCCTTCAAGGCCAGCCTGAAGTGCACAATGAAATCCTTTCCCCAAAACACCCAAAGGAAACAAACAAAAACAAAACTAACCCATTCAGTCTTCACAGCTCTCTGAAATAGGTTTCTGTAAAGAAGAAACCAAAGGCACACAGAAGCACCTTGCCTAAGCTTAATATTTATTTAGTACTGGCGAATTGAACCCAAGGGCTCCCTACCACTTAACTACAGCCCCAGCCCTATTTATTTTATTTTTTAAATTTTGAGACAGGGTCTTGGTAAATTGTCCTTGGTAAGGTGGGACTTGAACTTGGCAATCCTCTTGTCTCACCCTCTCTTCAGTGCTAGGATTACAGGTGTGTGCCACCATGCCCACTCCAAGTTTCTTCATTCTTTCCAATAAATTTATATGTGAGGGGGCTGGGGATTTTGCTCAGTGGTTCCACCACCTGCCTCACAAGCGCAAGGCCCCAAGTTCGATCCCCAATACCAAAAAAAAAAAAGGCCGGGGATGTGGCTCAGCAGCATTGTGCCTGCCTGGCAAGCGCAAGGTCCTGAGCTTGATCTCTGGTGGTGGTGGTGGTGGCGGGGGTGGGGGGTGTTGTTCTATGAGGCAGCTGTTGTGGTGCTACATGGCCTGTAATCCCAGCACTCTGGAGGCTGAGGCAGGAGGATCGCCATGAGTTCAAAAGAGGGCAGCCTGGGCTATAGGTAGTGAGTTCAAATCCAGCCTGAACTACATAGTGAGACCCTGTCTGAAAAAAAATTTTTTTTATATGTGAGGGTTAGGGATGTAGCTCAGTGGTAGAGCACTTGTGGCAGGATCTAGGCTCTCCTCCTAATGTAATAGTATCCCCCTAAGGGCTGGGGATTTAGCTCAGTGGCACCGCACCTGCCTCACAAGTGCAAGTTCGTGAGTTTGATCCCTGGTACTTAAGTAGGCTTTCAAGTAGAATAGCAATAGTATATTCATACCATAATATACAAAATATATGCCATAGGAATGATATAGAACCCTGGTGCACATTTGTAATTATAGCACTCTGGGAACAATTTAAGGATTTAACAAGATCTTGTCTCACAACAAACAAAACAAAACAAAACAAAGGGCTGGGAATGTATCAGTGCAAAGGTCCTGGGTTCAATTCCCAGTGGGGAGGGGCAGAAGAGTAAGGGCCAGGAAGAGTAATAAGATTTATATAGGCAAAAATGAGATCAGTTAGTAAATTAAAGACAAGAAAACAGTCTGAATGAAAGTAGAAGAATCCAGTCTCAAATTTCTTTCTGAAAATATCCTTGTTTTTGCTCACGAGTGCCAAAAATGTTACCTAAATGTTTGACTCCATAAATCTTGGTGGTAAATTAAAAAGACCTATTGGGGTGGGTTGGGGGAGACAGGTTTTTACTATGTAGTTCAGGCTGGCTTTGAACTCACAGCAGTCCTGCCTCAGCCTCCCAAGTGCTGGAATTACAGGCGTGAGTCACCCCCACCCCCTCACCTGCTGTAAAAAGAACATTTTTCATGCAAGCTGGGGTTTTTTTCATCCTGGGGGTTGGACCTAAGACTTTGATCATGCTAGGCAAGTGTCCCAACACTGAGCCACATCCCCAGTCCTTGTGACACCTTTTTAATCTCCTGTGGAAGTAAATACTATCAAGGAAAAGTAAGAAAGAAGGGTAGAATTAAGGTCTGGAATTTAGGTGCAAAACTCCTTTAGCTGCTGTTGGAGGGCCTGAATTTCTCACTGACGTTTTCTTTCTTTTTTTTTTTTTTTTGGTACCAGAGATTGAACTTGGGACCTTGCACTTTCGAGGCAGGTGGTGGAATCACTGAGCCAAATCCCCAGCCTGTCACTTACTTTGTCTAGGACAGTAAATGGCACAAGACACACAGGCCCCATTTAGATGGAGGGACTGACACCCCCACCCCTTAAGGATTGGTCTACATTCATCAAAATTCACACTGATTTTTCCCTATCTTTTAAGTGAGATAAAGATTTTGATCAGGGTGCTCCCACAGTAAAATGGGAAAGTGAAAATGGCAGAGCCATCAGGATGATGTGTCACACTGTGGAAGCGCTGCAGATGGAGACACATTCCTTTGGTGTAGTCCTAGCTACTAGGGAGGCTGAAGCAGGAGGATTGCAACTTTGAAGCCAATCTTGACAATACAGTGAGATCTTGTCTCCTAATAAAAATGAATGTTGAAGGAAAAAATGGAAACAAAGTTTTTGTATATGGGGGAGGGTTGAGGGAAATTAGATAAAATAAAATAAAATTTATTTCAGTTTGTTTTTTGGTACGGGGGATTGAACTCAGGACACTGTGCTTGTGAGGCAGGCAGCAGAACCACTGAGCTAAATCCCTGGCTCAAAAATAAAATAAAATTTATTTTTTAAAATGAATGAATAAATCTGGAAAAACAAAATTGGTCCCTGAGATGAAGCAGCAGTAGAAACTTTAATTATCTTGTACTGTCTCTTGAAACAAGACTACAGACCACTAATGAATGAATGAAACATTCTTTTTGTTTGTTTTATTAAGAGACAAAGTCTTGCTGTGCTGTCCATGCTGGCCTTGAATTCCTGGGCTCAAGGAGTTCTCCTGCCTTAGCTTCCCAAGTAACTGGGAAATACAGTTATGGGCCACTATGCTCAACATTTCAGTGAAGCCTTTTCTTTTTTTTTGGTCTGAATCTCTGAAGTTATAGCTTGAATTTCTATAATGTTTTTCAATTTTCCATGTAACTCTTTTTAGCCAGAACCACTGTGCTAAATCCCTGGCCCTCCATATAACACTTTTAAACCTGTCAATAAATATCAGTTGAACAAATAAACTTGTGAGGTAGCCATGATGGGTATTATTATTTCTCACGGTACTGGAGATTTAACCCAGGCCTTCATACTGAGCTACATCCCCAGCCATTCATTCATTCATTCATTCATTCATTGAGACAAGGTCTTACTATGTAGTTCAGGCTGGTTTTGAACTCACTATGTAGCCTGGCCTGAACGCTCAGTGATTCTCCTGCCTCTACTTCCTGGGTGCTAGGATGGCAGGTGTGTATTCAGTCTCCTTTTATTATTTTTTATTTTGAGACAAGGTCTTGGGCTGGGGATTTAGCTCAGTGATGCTGCCGCCTGCCTCGCAACCACAAGGTCCTGAGTTCAATCCCCGGTACCAAAAAAAAAAAGACAAGGTCTTGCCAGATCACTAAATTGCCCAGGGTGGGTTTGAACTTGTAATCCTCCTGCCTCAGCCTCCCAAAGTGTTGGCATTATAGGCATATACCACCACATCTGGCTAGTATGACTATTATTACCTGCATCTAATAAAGGCTGAAAATGACACAAGCAGTTGGATTTTACCTCATCTACATAAGTAGAAGAAATCACAGGAACAGGGACAGCTATCTTCTTAACCCTAACCCAGTAGTCTATAAACGATATACTACACTCCTGGTTTTTTTTTTGGTGGATAAAATTCTACTCTAGAAAATTTCAGGTTGTGTCCAATTTTGTTTGTTTGCTTGCTTGCTTGCTTGCTTTCTCTCCTTCTCTCTTTCTTTTTCTGAGACAAGGCCTCACTAAGTTGCCCAGGCTGGTCTCCAACTCATTATCCTCCTGCCTCAGTTTCCCAGAGTGCTGGGATTACAGGCATGAGACACCATACCCAATTTTTCCACATTTTTAAAATACAAAACCTTTTTTTTTTTTTTTGGTACCAGGATCGAACTCAGGATCTTGTGTTTGCAAGACAGGCGTGGTGCCACTGAGCTAAATCCTGGCCCAATATAAAACCTATTGTAAACTTCATGTATTGACCAATGACTGGTGGGAATACTGCTTTTCTAAACTGAGGGTTGCTTCTCTCTTCAGAAAAACATTCAACTCAGTAATTCCAAACCATTTCACTTGCATTATTTGCATAACCTCCAAGACACCTCAGTAATGGCAGTACTTTCCCTAGAATCCTCCAAAACAGGTCAGAAAGTTTCTATGTAGTTGTGCACAGAAAAAAATATAACCACAGTCACAATACTTCCCCCACAATTTGTTAGTTTATTAAATTTTGTTTTGCTTTTTTTTTTTTTGAGACAGCAGCTCTATATGTAGTTCAGGCTGGCTTTGAACTCATGTAGCCCAGATGCCTCAAATTCACGATGATCCTCCTGCCTCAGCCTCCTGAGTGCTGGAAGTACAGGGATATGCCACCAAGCTCAGCTAGACTTTGGATTTAAAGAGGGCTGTCAAAGTTTAGTCATTTAGTCATTAATCCCCATTTTGGCCATATATGAAGCTGGCTCCTCCATACTCCTGGAATACTTTTTTTTTTCTGGTATCAGGGATTGAACTCAGGACCTTGTGCTTTTGAGGCAGGTGGCAGCACCACTGAGCTAAATCCCCGGCCCATTTTTTTTTTTGCAGTGCTGGGGATCAAACTCAGGACCTTGTGCTTGCCAGGCAGGCGGGTTGCCACTGAGCTACATCCTTGGCCCTGGGACCAATTTTTCTTTTCTTTTCTTTTTTTTTTTGGGTGGAGGGGGACCAATTTTTCAATGCCATCCTTTTACCTGCCTTTTTTAGTGAGAAATAATTTCTCATTCTGTCTTGTAACCAAAATTTGGTTTGTTTACTTTTGTACAATTTGAATGTTCATTGAAAATTGTTTGGAGCCAGGCATGATGGCAAATGCCTGTAATCCCAGCACGCAGGAGACTGAGGCAGGAGGATCACTGTGAGTTTGGGGCCAGCGTGGGCTACAGTGAGTTCAAGGCCAGCCTGAACTACATAGTGAGGCGCTGGCTCAAAAAACAAAACCAAACAAAAAATTCTTGTTAGGATAAATGCTCTCTGTACTTCAATATGAGGGGTTGCCAGATTTACATTATATAATACTTATGTTACACAATATCTGGGGCATACTTTTATACTAAAAATATTCGGTTGTATGAAATTCAGATTTAACTCAGTGTTCACTCATGGTTACCCTATGGCTGTACTCAAACAGTAAGTACTGAGTTCTTCATAAATGTCTGGCTTGTGTGCAACACTGGAGAGAGAGAAGTGAAAGAGACCTAGCACAGCTCCCCTAACAGACTAGCCAGGGAGTCAGGTATTAAACAAACCATCACACACTTAATTCTGGTGGT